AAAGCGAAACTAATTACATAAAACGATTCTCAGTTTTATGAAGATTTAAGATTACTTTTATATTATGTACATTTTTTATTTTTTTTCAAAAGAATTGAATAAAATTAATCTTTAAATTGTGGGAAAATCTAATTTTAAAAATAATATTGATTTTTTATTTAAAATTCGTTTCATATACCAAAATATTCTTCTATGTCTATAAATAAATAGTATATTTTAAAATAGCAGATCAGAAGAATCAATTTTAAATAATAAAAAAGAATCTATTATTTTTTAAATTGTTTTTTTCCACAGTTTAAAGACTAATTTTTGTGTCTTTTGATAAATTCTTTTGAAAATATAAAATGTACTTAATCTACATGAAATCTACATTGCTTATATATTGAATAGACATTGAATGGACGTTGCATATACGTTCAATATTGAATTTTAACATCTGTAAGACATGTCCGTATTCATAGTCAGATCTTATATTTAAGACTTCCTTAAATTTATCTTTAGATGCTCAGTAGCCAATAAAATAATTCGTACAGCATCTGAAGATAAATTTAAAGAAGCCTAAAATATAAGGCCTTACTATGAATACGGACAGTATACTCAACGGACTTTAGACGTTTCTGCAATGTCTGTTCAATATTGAATCTATATTTTGCGATGTTGCTGCAGTATTCGCAATGTTGCAGTTCAATGTTTCTGAGATATTGATTCAACGTTAGTGTGTTGTAGCGTGTTACGATTGACAATGATTTACTACATTGTGATTGACCACGTACCGATTGACCACGTTGTGATTGACCATAATCCGATTGATCACGTTATTGACCTGGTTTTGGATGCAGCCTGCTCACCGAGCGATTGGTTCTTACTTATGGATCTAATTATTTATTTTCGACCACTCTACGAGCTAGGCTGTGACTTCTGAAATCTATTGAAAAAAGTGTGCAATTTCTTAGTTGATGAGTTTACATGTCTGATCACAGGAACGTTTAACATAAATTATGAGCTACATGGAGAGAATTTTTTTTTAGAGTTTACCCTGAAAATATGATAGTTGTCGGATAACATTGTATTTCGAAGAATTTTATGTAAATCTCTCATTCTCTAACAAAACTACAATAAAATATAAAATAAGTTTGATTAATTTTGAAGTGCATATGGTAAAAATCTTTAAAGTACCATAACTACCATATTTCCAGAGTAAATTTTAAGAAAAAATTCTTTTCATGTAGTTTTTTTATAATATAATTAGGGACGATTAATTCTATGACGTCCATAAATATTTCCAAGAGATTCAAAATCCAATTAATACATGTGACATGTTTCGCATGATTGGCTGCGTTCAGCAGAGAAAACTAATCACTGTTTAGTGATTCTTTAATGATTGGTTCCTACACTTAGATCCAACGAAGAACTAAAGGTAAGAACCAATTATATTAAAGAATCACTAAGCGCTATCTGATTAGTTTTCTCTGCTGAACGCAGCCATTGTGAACATGTGATTTCGATGTTTATGTAATATATAAGAAGCATTGTTTTTTTTTGTTTTTTTCTACACAAAAAACTTAATTTAAAATAGTTTTATTTACATGAACGTAACACATTGATTGTAAATAATGAATTGGCCGTACACTTCTACATATTTGTATAATTTCGAAACAACTTATTTCAATCAGCGTTCAGCGTATCTATACGTTTCACGGAAAGTTATTCTTGTTGAAATTACGCCAGTTTCCATTTACATTTCGCTTCTCGCGCCCATTATACACACGATGCATCGATGTCAGCATCACACGTCGGTCTCACCGTGCAATAAATTTTCTGAGCGACTGATGATATTTTGAGATACTGTCGCTTATCTTAGTCCTTGTTGCATCTCACATTCCCTTCTCCGTCACCTCCGAAGATGCATTCAAAAACAGTCTCGTTGCGAGTTGGATAATGTTGACAGTGGTTTCATTCATCGTTCCGTATATTTTTGATTTCATCCTGCCCCCACTCCCTATCCGGCCTATCATCCTTCATCGCCACCGGTTTCCTCTTACGTCTGCGGGCATCACTTGTTGCTACATTGACGCATCGTCTTCTATATACAGGGTGTTTTACAACTACCGCATTACATTTTTAAAAATGTGTTTATGAAATAATTTTGAATTAAAAATCCTAATACAAAAATACATAATAATACGAAAATATCGAGGCTATAATACTTTTTAAATACATATATATATAGAAATATTTTCAACCATAATTTTTCTCTTTTTTATTTTTTATCATTCAAACTATAAAAAACCCGACAAAAAAAATAGAATCTTCATAATTACTATAAATCGTAACAATATTATCTGTAAAATTTCAGTTCATTCGGAGTAGAATTCCATTCGGAAGAACACGCACCCTGTACGTGTCGATGCTGGATCTTGGTATATTTCCTAATAATATTTTCTAATAGTATTGCCTAATAATAATATTATGTAACTTTTTAAATATATTTTATATTTTTTACAGTATCACGAATTGTTAATTACTGTCGGACTTGAAACACAATCTTACAAAAATTGGAATAAATAATACATTATGATTATAATATCGATTTCGGAGGAATTAGTTAGTTTAAAATATTAATATTATTTTAACTGTAAAAAAGAATTCATTTGTACTCGAGAAAAAACTATATTATTTGCATAAATAAATTTACATAGAAAAACGGAATACACAATAACTGTAGTAAATGCTCGAATTGTGTCATTCATCTCTATTCTGTTTTTCTATTTATTTTTGCGCAAGTAATATAGTTCTTTCCTAGGAACAAATAAATCCTTTTTTTTCTCAATTAAATTAATATTAATATTTTAAATTAAATAATATCTTCGAAATTGATATGTTGTATTACTTTCTTTCTCTTATTCCAGCTTTTTTAAAATTATAAGTTCATCATACAAAGTAAACAAATATGATCACGAATTTATTTTGATTAGTGAACTTTAATCGCTGTTAATTTGAAAAGTTTTATAGTCTCGACATTTTCGTATTAGAATTTTCAATTTAAATTTATCTCAGGAATACGTTTTTAATAGTAATTGCAAGACACCTTGTATAGTTGCTGCCGAAACGCTCGATATTATTTCCGACATTCTATTCTGCTGTCACCGATTGAGAGATGGATGAAATGAGGAATCGAGAGAGAGAGAGGTGTGAGCAAGATGTCTGTATGCGGCTATCTAAAAATAGGCGGTGAGGTATCGCGGGATAGCGCGGGGGTGTTACTACAAACGAGATAGATAGATTCTCAAGCGACCAACTCATTCGGAGATAACAACTCATGTGAGAGACGACATTAATGTTTATTGCCCGTAAGCGCTCGCGTGCACTCACGCACAAGCTCCTATTTTTAGACGGCACGATCGGCAGCTATACGGGCACCGTCAAGGCCGCATTGCAAAACGATTATCGATGTTGGCGCATGTTACTGCAGTCGGTCACTGGATCCGTCTATGTTCCTTGTGTACGACTTTGCACGCGCGCACGCTATTTCGCGATTGGCCCATATTGGCATCAGAGGATAGGATTCGTCGTTCGTCGAAAGTTGCTTATATTTATAGATTACGTTTTCATATGTATGTATACGCGGCTACACACTCTGCACTCTGTGGAACTACGTGGACGTGTGGTCAGTGAGGATTATAAATTATACACACACATACACACGTGCGTACGCGCGCACACGCACACATATCCGATTAAAATTGTTCTAAAGTTTGTTTCGATATACAGCTAAATAAAATGCTAACATCGTAAAAATAAATTAGCTTATACATAAAAGAACTAAATTAAAACTATCTTAAAAATAATTTATCGAAAATATAATTTGATATGTCTATAGATAGAGCTGTTACAATTAGGTATAATATCCAATTGTAACATCCTCACATCTTTAGATATAAAAACTTAAAATGAAATATTATAAATATTATAAAAGATATTTTTTTCTTAAGGAAATGCTGGATGACGAAATTTGATTGATGTCGATAACGCAGACTTTTTTAAACTGACTTTCTTACATTATCGTTTTATTATCACACAATCTGCTCTTATTTGATATATTGCAACGTTATCTCTTGTAAGACCCGGTATCTATTATTAGATACAATTACTGCTCTGTTTTACTTTTCACACCGATTTCACTCGTAGCATACAAATGAAATTTTCAGATTCTCTTTCCTCTCATACTAAAGCTCTTAGTTCATTTCTACAAAAATAGGAATGTTCTTTCATATAATCTCTAGTGCTATCTAAGCTTATTTCAAACAAACAAAGTCTAAAACTTATATGCAGCACATGTTGTCACGAGTTAATTACAGAAAGCAATAACAAAATTATAATTTTTTAATTTCTTTTTGTTTGCCATATGAAATTGTTGTGTGTACACTGTATTTTATCTACTTTAATTTTGTGGAAGATTTTTAAATTTATTTAAATATAATTAAAAGACTGGAGAATCCGAAAATTAATTATATTTTATCGATAAAACAATTCCAGCATTCCCTCAAATTGATAATATTTTATATTCATGTTTTAATTTAATAATATTTTATTTGACATTCTTAATAAAGTTTGGATTATTTGAAGTTTATTTTACTGTATTTACAATTAATTTTTTGCTATTTCTTATTTACAGATTATTGTAACATATTGTATTTATAAATTAGTAAATTAATTATTTTTCTGAAGAATCAGTTTTAAACCTGTTTTTGTAACTTGCCTTTAATATATCTAATATTATATCTTCGATAATCTTTAATACTTTTTCTGATCAAAATTGGCGGAAAAAAAGATTAACATGGCAATTCAAATCTAAAAAATAATTATTATTAACCTCAAATTCAAACTTTCATGAATTCAATGAAACATTTCAATTCATAACTCACTGATTTCATATATTTCATTTTTAAGAAACTTCCGTCGTTAATATTTCTATTGGAAACCTTTCGCGAGAATATTTCTTAATATTTTTCCTTGGGCACGTATGCTATCTGTCTACTTCTTAGGTGTGACCAGACGAATCTCGAATAGTGAGCAATCGAAGCTAATAATATAATACTGATTCCCATTGCCTTGATAAACATCCGTTTTCGTTCATCAAATTCTTGCGAAGATGTCCAGCTTAGAAATGCAACTATGTCCTTTGCCATTTGCGACGTCGTCGATGGAGTGCCATCATCATATTCCACCACTCCTCCAACTAGCATCTGTACATGATTTTATATCATAATATCTTATAACGACTATCAAATGCTAGAGCGCGAAATTAAAATTTCATTAGTATAAAAAATTAATCGGCGAAATAAATATTAACAATGTTAATGTACAAATAATTTCTCTTGATAAAGTATAATTTAGCATATTCATACCTTATTGGTATTTATCTCAAATTTACGGAGGGAATAATTTGATATAGATGTTTATTATATCTGTAAACTCTGTCCAATTATTAAGGGAGATCAGATTTATCATAGTTTTTAAATGGAACTATAATAAAAAAAAACTAGATGCAAGATTTTAAAATGCTATATGTACACGTTTTAATATATATATACATTCCTTTAGAAAAAAATTAGAAAAAAAATTAGGCATTAGAAAAAAATATTACTCTTGAATACATTATATAAATAAGTTAAATGAGAGAGAGAGAGAGAACAGAGTAGTATCTATCAATGATGATAGATATAATATAGTTCATTTATTTTGCAATTTCGTGTCTAGAATACTTTTTTCTAAATTACATAAAATTAACAATTTAGACATAAATTTAAGTTAAATTGATGATATATAGTGCCAAATTATCACTAAATTATTGATATATATATATATAATACTTACGACTATATGTAAATATTTCAGTACTATATATATGTCAATAATTTAGTAAATTAAATTTATGTCTATTTTTTACTTTAAATCATGGATCGGCACAGATTTCGACGGTCGATTTTAATATTACGACGGATCTCGAAATTCAATCTCATACCTTTCGATTTCTAATGAGAGCACCTAAGTTACTCGTACTGCTTGCAAAGCGTGTTAATCGAATCGCTCTTGCTCAAAGCGCGGCCGATTTTCGAAACTTAAAAACTCAAAAACTAAGGCCTATATGGAAAAATCGCCAAACACGAAATTTCTCTTTTGATCTATAGAGATACCAAAAAAATTAATATCTAAATTCAAGGATATCAGCTCTGGGGTTCCCCAGGTTAATTAATTTGGAAATTTAATGAAGAAGCGCATAGACATAATATATCTTATATACAAACATCTTACACAACACTATATCTCATTACAGATTTCTCTCTTAATTTATGTTTAATTTATACAGGGTGTCGCGAAAGTTTTTGCCAATCGCTTTTGTGTAGATAGAGCGGATTAAACTGAGTCGAAAAATCCTCTACTATTTTGCAATTTTTGCAAATAGTTAACAAGGTATTAATTACTAAAAATTACTAAATATTGTTCTTGAATAATTTTTTACTCAAATATTATCAACTTTATAGAAAAGCTGCAAGAGACAAAAATCATTTATTTTCTTCTCATAAAGTTCTGAGAATTTTTTCAAAATTTTTTGATACCGTATTTTCTCATGGTGGTAAAAATAAGAAAATGCAGTATTAAAAAGTTGATAAAAAATTCCGAAAAAATTTTTCGGATCGGACTTTTCGACTCGGTTTAGTTCTATCTACACAAAAGCGATTGGGAAAAACTTTCGGGACACCCTGTATAATGACCACTCAATGTTGAAATTTATTTTATTAGTATAATACAATAAAATATAGATATTTCGATCCAACGTTTCGGATCCTTCCCAACATAATAAAAGAATTTAAAGTACAAATTATAAAGAGTGACCTTTATACTAATAAAATTTAATTTATCAGTATATAAGAGTGACCTTTATAATGTGTCAAAGTCAAGGTTATCGGATCGGAATTCCCTGTTTGATACATTTACCCATTATTGTTATTAACAATAAGCATCATATTTTGTGTCAAACTTTATTGATGTATATCTTTTAAACTGTGATAGGTACATTAATTTGGTTGAGTGTTCTTAAAAAGAGGGCGCAAACTCGATGTTAAGCCAGCACCCCTACTTTCAATCTTTTTTTGCTACATGTTTGAGCATAAAAATTAGGATTAGCATATAAATAAAGCATATGATTAACACATATAAGGTGCTTAATTTTGACATTGGTGCCATTTAGATTTATTGAAAGGGGAGGGATGCTAATTTGATCCTCCATCGGCAATGCAGAACCCAATTGATTTTTTAATTATGAATTTTAAGAAAATTAATAGATAGCGAGATTTGGCTCTTTAAAAAAAAATTTGATCAAGGTTATGTGTTTACAAGAACATTAGTATTCAGTTGGTTCAGATAGTTGTTTTGTTGTAAGGACGAATAGAAGTTGTGCTTATGTTCTCAGCATCCCATATTGCGAATCACGTAAAAACGATAAAATTTGTATCATAATATTTTATCTCATAAATAAATTAATTGAGAAGTTATTGATAAAAGAATAACTCTTTATATAAAAATATACGAAATAATATCATTGAATAATACCATTACCTGTTCCATACTGATTACGTTTCCGGGAAAGTAGATATTAAAATATTGCTGGTCGCTTAAAGATATACCTGCTGGCGGTTTTGTCCAACCCGTCAGCAAAGAAAATAAGTAATTTCTACCATTCTTCCTGGCAAAAATGATGTAAGTCAGATCTGGTGGGTACGCACCGAAATTGGCCGCTCTTGCCGCTTCCTCATTTGGGTAAGGAGGTGGCAATAAATCAGATAACCTTCCAGGTCTCATGTAGTAATTTCCCTCTTCGTCGGGTCCATCTTGAATCTGCATATTCGGATGCAACATATTATTCTATGAAATATGGATCAAGTGAAAAGAAAACTAATTTAAAGATTTACACTAAAAGATCTATCAAGGTCAAGTATTTTTCAAGAATTATACGAATATTTATTTTTATTTAATTAATTTTTTGGATTAAAAATACAATCAGTTAATTTTAATATATTAAATCTCTTCGTGAGATATTATTAATGTCTCAATATGGATAAATACTACACTGTTAAAAAAAAGTGCAACTTCCGTTCATGTAACGTAAGCAAATTTCAAACAGGTACCTACATTAAAAATATTTACGGCCATACACGTTCAAGTAAACTTGTTAAGTATGCATGCGCAAATTGCTTGTACAAGTTTATTGAAACATGTGTGTGACAAAACCGCACAGTTATTTTAGCTTGCGCAAATGACTGGAGCAAATATGAAAATTCATTTGATATACTTGCACAAGTAAATTGGAGCGTGTGTAGTGGCGTGGCACGTTCAGTTCAAACTATATAAAGACTCTTTAATGTCGGCTACACATGTTTAAGTAAATTTATCAAGTATGCGTGCACAAGTAACTTGTACAAGTTTATTTCAGCGTGTTTATAATAAAACTATACAGTTATCACAAATCAGCACACACGTTTCTATCAACTTACACAAGTATATTTGATGAGTTACTTAAACATATGTGGCTAGCCTTGGAATCGTCATATCTTTATTTACTTTTTTATAACACTGAATAGAAAAATATATTTCGTGCTACATCGTAGTTAGATGAGATAGTTAATCTCATTTTTATGTGAACGTAGAACATTTTTAACCAATTTGTAATTGTATTACGTGTCTTCGAGCGCGGACTTGAAGTTAATTACAAAAGCTGCAAGAAAGGGAAAGAAACGAAATGCCTCAGTAATGAAATCAACAGGTCGGGCACGAGATAAATTCAGGCCTACTATGTCTACCTCATACTCGGCGGCAATGGCCTTGACCTCGTCCTTCGTATGTGACACGTCGATCAGATCCATGAATCGTACGTAACGCAAGCTGTGGCAAGTGTGACATATGGTTCTGTAGACTTGCCAACCCCGCCGTACGGCCGAGTGATCCAGAGATGTGAGATACCCCTCAAAGTCCCAGGGATAACTGGGCAGGTGCGCGACACGGCCCATTGCCTGAACCGATCGGTCTAGGAAATACAAGAACACTCCGCAAGTAGCACTCGCGCCCACCAGTACACTTAGAACATTCCTCAAAATTCTTTTTCCACACTTCCACTCAATACCATCGTACCACGTATAAACTCCACTAAATTGCTGCCGTTGAAAGTAGCCTTTTATTTGGAATGAAAAATAGTTTTTACTCAAAAGCATAGCCATTTTTCTCTGACACAAGACAGTCTCGAGGAAACAATTGATAGTATAGCGAGTCGAACCGGTCGAACGTTTGTGGGTATACTGTGTATTACAAAATTACCTTTTTAAAAAAAGGTAAAAAAAAGGCGCAGTGCTCATGTACCTCCCATAAAAAACTGTTACATAAACTAAAAAAAAAACCGTTACATAAATAATATAATTCAAGTGGTAATATTGTTAATTTTTTATTATAAATTGCACCTCAGTAGTACGTATGCATGTATTGAAAAAAAATGAAATAAAATCTTTAAATTGCGCCAATTGCAAAAAGAATATATATTTTCTTGCAACATATAACATATACTATTGTATTTTGTAAATTGCGAAAAGAACATATATTTTATTGCAACATATAACATTTACTTAACGAGACAAAATACGTACCTTTATCTTTCTATTGAGGAGGAGTCTTTTATATATATTTGCAATGGAATACAACATTTAATCTCAAAAAATTAAAGACGAAGCATCACAAAATGAGAAAATTTTATTCTTGAGAATTTATTTGATATTGACAACACATTTTTTTAGATTTATATTTATTATTGCATTTGAAAAACTTGTTTAAAATCAATTTTAAAGGACAATTTGATAAATATACTATATTATGTAAGAATTAATTCAGTATTTGTTACGTTAAATTTGCAATTGCGAATAAATTGAGAAGCTTGATTCATTATCGTATATATGCATATCGATAGTTTTCAAATTTTGCAATATTTTTCCGAAAGTGACATGAGAATAGAACACTTGTTTAATGAAAAACGTGACTTAAAAATTCGTAAATAATTTGTTTAAAGTCTCTTAATGTAAAAATAATAAAATATCATTCTAATTATTACAACATTTTTACAGATATTTACTAATAAATAATATCAGGTAACAATTTTTTAAATATTATATATTGATTTAGAATATTTAAATAAGAATATGAGATACTTATTTGAAACACTACGTATGTGTAATTCTTTTAAACTGCGCGCCGAAATTTCAATGGTACTAAAAAAATTATTTTTTTATTCAATTAAAATTTTTCTAAATTAAAATTTTTTTTTAGTGTAACTTTTGGAAAATATAAAGTATAATTTATTCAAGCTATTTTAAAAACAAGTTTTTATTTTTTCTCGAAAAAAATTATATCCTTTTATTTTATTCACATGTTAAGGGGATTCCAAAGTCGTCTGTATTAACCACATAATTTTTGTATAATAATTACTTTTTTCCTCTCTTACTGATTTGAAAATCCTTTTTCAGGATTAAAAGTATACGCATTAACACGTGTCTGTGAGGCGAAGTCTATGCTGAGAACGACATAAAAATTTCAAAATTGAAACTACCATTTCTTAGTCCAATATGGCGCTCCAGAGCTGTCACGTCGTGACATTTGCTTCATATAAAAACTGTGCAATCTGTACTTATGAAATAGTAGTCCATATACTAATAGTTTTTATGAAGAAACAGTGTAAAGTTCTTAAAATTAAACTTAGACGTCTAATTAAAACGTAATTATTATACGAAAATTTATGTGTATGTGTGGCGTGTGTTAGTGAGATATTGATATAGTGATGTGTCAATGCCACGTAAATCGTCTCTACGTGTAAGTATTATTTTCGATATGATTAATCGTCTTTAGAATCCTTTCAATAATTTACTAAATGCCATATTTTTACTTTTTCATTACGTTGTTATTCGTACATGTTTGTGATAGAATTTCCAGCAAGAATTAAAAAAATCTATGAATATACGGATGCGTTATAACGAAATGATATTAGATCGTAAAGAGATTAAATTTATCGTAGCGGTTTTATCCAACTCAATTTTTATCTAGTTTATCATCGCGCGATCACTCAGCGACGACGAATAACCATCGAGCTGAAATTAGGTGGCCCGATATATAATTAATTCACTCCTTCTTTCCAAGAACAGCTCGACGAAGATTGCGGTTGATTGAAAATCGATGCGGACCGAATCTTCACCGCAACCGTTTCAGCGTTTATTTTTAAGATTTAAGCATACTGAAGGGAAAAGAAAGACACGTTTGGAACTATCGTGCCGTCTGCATTATTTATTCACGGGATATAGATAGGTAATATAGCGCTATGGTCTTGCGGCGGTCAATACACTACTGTTGAATAATTTAGATATGATCGCGTTCTCCATTTATTTTCTCGCGGGACATTTTTGCTTATTCGGCGAATAAAGAAGGAAATCGTTGAATCGTGTCAAAAAAAAAAAAAAGAAGAAAGAAAGGAAAAGAAAAATTCAAAAATTGTAATCACCAGCTAACGTAGTGTCGAGAGATTAATTAATATAGCGCGTTACGACTAATAATTTCGTTGAACGTACGCGCGTTAAAAATGTTACTATGTAATCACAAGAGAAAGGAGAGAAGGAACCCTACGAAAGTATCGTGACCCTTCGATACAAGTGTGGTCCATTATTATTAATATACGCCGAGGCGGTGTGGTTATAAGCGATTTTGTGAACTTTAGCGAGATTTCCATTCACTGTCCCGGGAATTGAACAATTAGTTTGCTGATCCAATTTCATTGTCTCTTCATTCTTCCCTAATATCTCTATCTTTCTTCAACAACACTTCTTTGTCCCATTTTAGGAAAGCGTCTCTTGTATAGTTTTCAAGCTGACTTAACGGATGCCATAATTTTAGTTACTGGAATAGAATTGCGATTTCTCGTTGTCGTCATCGTCGTTGTCGTTGTCTTTAGCTACAAATACATTTCGCATAATAATAATGATCCATGTGCCGTTATTTGTCTAATAATAGATAAGACAGGATTGGTCGATCGATACTGTACGACCAAAGATGATATCTTGTCGAGTTCCTCCTCTTCGTCCCAACCATCCTCACCGCGTAATCTGGGCTATTCGCGTCCGACGCGAGCAACCCATGGTTTGCAGACGCGATTAATTATTTCCTTACAGACGATGATTATTGGAATTCTTTTTCCTCGGGAAGGCATTCTATCTCGAATCCAAATTGTCTTCATTGCCTTCGCAATACTTGAACATTTCGAAAAAATTCTAAAGGAATTGTATAAAAATAAAAATTACTTATAATTTGTAAAACTATTATTTTATTCACATTTGTTTAGCATTAACTATCATCCATATTTAATATCTATCTATATTTAAAAGAATTTATTTATGAAACATATTTAAAATAACAAAATTTGTCGCTCTCAAAATCTGAATTGCAAATAATGCTTCTACAAATAGAAAGTAAGCGAAATCTTTACAATATTACACACTTGATTTATATATTTATTTATATATTACTTGATTTTTATTTTATCAAACGAGAACAAATTTGAAGGAATAGGTAGTGTAAGTTTCTATACTAATGCAAATCTCTCGGAAGATTTCTTATTTTATTTTTAAGTAAATGAAATAAACAAATGCGCGTACTTTTCCTTATTTATGAATTTTTTTTTCCATACAATCGCTTTTTGCATAATCGATATTTTCCATAATGTCTCAAACATCTTTCTTTTTCTTCCTCTTTCAATTCCTACGACATCTTTATCAGTCAGTATTATCGAGCTTGTTTCACTTACATGTTTTGATTCGCAGCAGAATTTTTCTTAATGAACGGAACGCTAGAAATAGCGAGCTATCGACGGTCATTCCGCGAGAAATCATCGCGCGTCCGTCGATGGACAGCGAAATTATCCATTGTTATCGGCTGCGGTATGCACTCATGATAAAGCTATTTATGTCGTTCCTCTGCACGAGACAACGGCGAGGGAACATATCATGAAAATTGACCACGCGGGGAAATCATCCTTGCACTTTATACTTGAACTATTGAGCAGGCTTCCCTCTCTTTGTTTCTGTATGACGAGAGAGCTAAAGTGAGTACAGAAACGCGATTAAAAGATTAAATCGTTAATATCTATTTGATTTGACATTACATTCGTTTATTCTTATTAATCCGTTAAATTTAATTTATTCAATTTATTCTTGGATAAATACAATTAATTCAAGATTTCAATAATTTAATTAGACCAAGTTTTTCAATAGATAATTGTTTTATTTTTCAGATGTATTAAAGACTTTTGTTTTCAACAAAAAAAAACGAGTTGAAATTGAATAATTAATATCTTAAAACGCGAGAAGAACAGAAATGAATACCTAATTATAGCAGTTTTATATCGTTAAACGAAATAATTTTGACGTAGCAATTAATAATTAAATTGTAGCAACACTATAAACTGATATTGGTATTTTTAGATATCAAGCTGTAAATATTTATTCAATTATATTAACTAATTTTTTTAATTCTATCATAAACTTTTATATTTGTTAACGCATTTTTGTGAATGAAATAAATACTCGATTTTATTATATTTTTATTCAAATCAAATTGTTAACTATTAAATACTATTACTTCCGTTTTGTATTATTACGGAACATCGTTTTCGATTTCACAAAGCAACGTCACACACTTAGTCAGAGGTGTAATTTATTGACTCCTAATGAAGTCTCTTGTGCATTAGCACAAGCATTTATTTAGCGCGACTATAACGATTGATGGTTATGCACGAAACAAAATCAGCTGGTAGCTACGAAAGTGCGTGCTTGCATGTAAGAGACGTGTAACGCGTGTATGTAGATAGTTCATGCAGGAAACAAACGTGTTCTCTTGATTCTCGATGCTTGTTCACAACTATGCACCCGCGAGAATAAAGGAGAGAAAGGGAGAAAGATATAAAGCGGCGCATCGTATTGCAACGTGCTATTTTCTGACTAGTCTCCCAATAATACAGCGAAGAAAAAAGGAATTGTCGCAATGAATTGTCTCGATCAATACGTATTTAGCGCTGCTAAATCATGGTAGGATAGGTAGATGTTACAAAACAAATATAGGAGTTCCAGACAAAAATTTTCTTCAAAATTTTTAGTCAAGTAAATAAAAAATATATATAATCCGTTTAAAATTTCCA